AAAAAAAAAAAAAAAAAGAAAAGAAAAGAAAAAAAATGTAACTCCCATTTACTTCTGTTCCCTCCTCCTCTTTTTGTGCTATTATTATACAGATTATACTTACATATGTTATAAACCAAACAATACTTTGTTATAAAATTTTAAGTATTTTAAATCTTCTAAAGTAGCCGAGAGAAGAAAATAGAGCCAAGTTTGTATTTATAGAGTTTGTAATATTAATCTTCTTATTGACTATTTCTTGTTCTTCCTTGTTTCCTGTGGATTCAAGCTACCATTGGTGTTACTAGCATTTTATATGATCCCGTTTTCTCTCCTTTCTTAGTGCATACAAATCATACTTTTTTAAAAACTTTTTTTGCTGGTTGTCCTACAGTTTGCAATATACATTTATAACTAATTCAAGTCCACTTTCAAGTAACATTATACTGCTTTCCAGGCAGCACAGGTACCTTACAACAAAGTATTCTTAATTCTTCCCTCCCATGCCTGGTATCATTGTTGTCATTCATTTAACTTATCCATAACCTATAGTCATCAAATACATTATTGATTTTGAATAAATGATTATTAGACCAATTAGGAATAAGAAAAACAAAAGTTTTATTTTACTTTCAATTATTCCTTAACATTCGTTCTTCATGTAGCTCGAAATTTATGACCTACATCATTTTCCTTCTCTCTGAAAAATTTCTTTTAACATTTCTTGCAAAGCAGGTCTACTGGTGAGAAATTCCTTCAGTTTTGTTTGTGAAACTATTTCTCTTTCACTTCTGAAGGATAATTTTGTTGAATACAGAATTCTAGGCTGGTGGAGTTTTCTCTCAAAACTTTAAATACTTCACTCCACTCTTCTTGCTTGTATGATTTCCGAAGACAAGTCCAATGTGATTCTTATCCTTATCCCACCTTATCTTATTCCCACCTCACCCTACCCTGCTCCTGCTCCTGGCTTTGCTCGCTCTTTCTTTCTTTCCTTCCTTTTCTTTTTTTTGAGATGGAGTCTCCCTCTGTCACCCAGGCTGGAGTGCAGTGGCATGATCTCAGTTTACTGCAATCTCCACCTCTTGGATTCAAGTGATTCTTGTGCCTCAGCCTCCTGAATAGCTGGGACTATGCCACACCTGGCTAATTTTGTATTTTTAGTAGAGACGGGGTTTCACCATGTTGGCCAGGCTGGTCTTGAACTCCTGACCTCAAGTGATCCTCCCACCTCAGCCTCCCAAAGTGCTGAGATTACAGGCCAGCTTCTTTTGAATTTTTTTTTTAATCTTGATTTTCTGCAGGTTTTTTTCAAATTTTATTTTAGATTCTGGCATATTGCGTGATGCTGAGACTTGAGGTATGAATGATCCTGTTACCCAGGTACTGAGCACGGTACCCCATAGTTATTCAACCCTTGTCCCCTCCCTCCCTCCCTGCTCTGGTAGCCTCCAGTGTCTACTATTGCCATCTTTACATTCATGTGTACTCAATGCTCACTTATAAGTAAGAACATGTAGTATATGATTTTCTGTTCCTGTGTTAATTTGCTTGGGATAATAGCTTCCAACTACATCCATGTTTGCTGCAAAGGACATGATTTCATTCTTTTTGTTGGCTACATAGTATTCCATGTTGTATATGTACCACATTTTCTTTATCCAGTCCACCACTGAAGGGCACCTAGGTTGACTCCGTGTCTTTGCTACTGTGACAAGTACTGTGATGAACATGCAAATATATGTGTCTTTATGGTAGAACAATTTATTTTCCTTTTGGGTATATACCCAGTAAAGGGACTGCTGGGTTGAATAGTACTGTTTTAAGTTGTTTGAGAAATCTCCAAACTGCTTTCCACAGTGACTGAATTAATTTGCATTACCACCAGCAGTGTATGAGCATTCTCTTTTCTTCTCTGCAGCCTCACCAGCATCTGTTGTTTTTTAACTTTTTAATAGTAGCCATTCTGATTGGTGTGAGATGCATTACTCTGATTATTAGTGATGTGGAGCATTTTTTCATGTTTGTTGACCGCTTGTATATCTTCCTTTGCGAAGTCTGTTCATATCTTTTTGCCTGTTTTTTGATGGGGTTGTTTTTTGCTTGTTTAATTAAGTTCCTTACAGATTCTGGATATTATGACCTTTGTCAAATGCGTAATTTGCTAATACTTTTCTCCCATTCTGTAGGTTGTCTGCTGACTCTGTTGATAGTTTCTTTTGATTTTCTACAGTTTAAATAGGAATGTCTAGGTGTAGTTCTTGGCATTTATCTTTCTTAATGTTCTCAGAGCTTCCTAGATTGTGGTTTGGTGTTTGGCATTAATTTGGGAATATTCATTCTCAGTCGTTATTGTTCCACATATTTCTTCTGTTCCTCTCTTTCTTGTCCTTCTGGTATTCCCATATATTTTTAATATGCATTTAGTGTAATGAATTTTTTAAACAAAATATAACTTAGGACCCAGACATGGTGGTGTGCACCTGTCTCAGCTACTTGGGAGGCTGAAGTTGAGGGTAGCTTGAGCCCAGGAGTTTGAGGTTGTAGTGTGCTGTGATGACACCTGAGAATAGCCACGGCACTCCAGCCTGGGCAACAGAGCAAGACCCACCCCTAAAATTTATGTGTGTGTATATATACATATATATGATTTGTATGATTTTCCTTATTATACGTTTATAGCTATATATGTATGTATAGATACATAAACAAATATTATATATATATAT